GGGCCTGCAAAGCTGAGTGATGCGTACGCTTTGCCCAGAAAAGGGCGATAAATTATTCACCTTTTGTTGTGCCTGCGCGCGCTTACTAAATAGTGTTTATTCCATTTTGTAGCGTCACCTCCGCACGAGCTTAGAAGAAGTAACCCCCTCACCCTTCCGCCGGAGGGGTGAATGCTCTGAATGAGGCAGTGGGCATGAACAGCGTGGGAGACATGACTGCCCCACTCTCTGCTGACATCTGCTGTAATGGCCTGGGACACCTGAGACCAGTCAGTGTTAGGGTGATCAAAGCTGGAGGCCCTGAGGGCCGTGCAGTGAGTCACCTGCCGGAGGAGGGCAAGGGAGTGGGCAATCGATCAGCGTTTGGCACCTCGTCCCTCTCTGCACACCTGGGAGGGGCTGTTCCTCCAGTCACAGCCCAAATGCCAAAACACCCCCCCCCCAGTACGGTGCGTTTGGGTGTTTTGGAACGGTGAGGGGGCGAGGACTAAACTGTACAGTGCTAGCGATATGCCAAACTGACTCGCCCAGGGCAGGAATTTGGTGCGGCTTATCTGAAATTCTCACCCCTTCCCTCCCCATCCAGCCCAGCCACCTCTTTCCGCGTGCCCGTGTGTGTGTGTGTTTAAATGCTGTGCTTGCCTGACTGGGTCTGCTCTTGCATGTTAGCTGCTAACCCATGAGATTCTGGACTGCTCTAATTGAGTGTGCAAGGCAGGCTTTTGAATAACCCATGAAGCAGAGCTGTGGATGGGCTGTGTGTGGTCCTCAGCCTGCTGAAGCACTGAGGAGGCCTGGGAGTCATGCAAACACACAGCCATGACTTCACACTGCTGTTTTGGTTTGGTCAGAGGAGCAGCACAAAGGGCCATATAACTGCTTGCTGATGCACCTGCACGCATATATGTAGATGAGACGTATTGAAACTGGAGTTCAGTGTCGTCACTCAGGTGCGACAGACTGCTGTGCCTTAGTGCCTTGAGTGTGGAGCTCTCCCTATGTGTCCGGCTGGGCACCAGGTCTCCTTGGCATTTAGATACTGCTGGCATTTAGTTTCCGCACCTGCAGTTCAGCCAAGTGTGAGACTGACATTCCCATTCCTCTGTTGCATTGCGGTGGCTCTGGAAATTGCGGCAGTTTTGGCAGATAACGATTCTAAATTAGTTATGAGTGCCACATGCTGAAAGGCTTGTATAGTGTATGACTTATTCATATATAAAACTGACAACATTTTACGAGAGGGGGGGTAGGCATAAAGTTATTTTTGGTTTAGCTAGATTGTCCCTTCCTTTTTGACATTTACTAGCTGACTCTGTGTATCTGTCCCATATCGGCTGCTGTTGTCTTCCCTATTTAAGATGAAGATTGTGTGACGATAATGATTGGTGGAGCCCAGCAATGACTGCAGTCTTCCCTTTGAGTCTCAAGCTCATATTACAACTTTTGAAGCAGTACAAGCTCTGTAAAGGTGAAGAATGTGGAAATTGCAAGTGTAATGAAAAGCCCGTATCGAGACAGACAGTGGGTAACGTTTACATGGAGAGTCTGGGAGATAAAAGCATTAGAAAGATTATGGTGCCAGCCAGCTGCTTTTAAGGTGGCATGTTATTGTATTTCCCCAGTTTAAGTGGGTCTGTAAATCGTAGAGACTTTAACCAGCTATATGAGGCTTTACATCTATGTATTCCAGGCTTTTAAGATGTAATATTGACTCAGTGGATTATGAATTTACATTTGCTTAATACAGAAGTTAACATAGTTCACTGGATAAATGAGAATCATGAGCTTGACTTTTCTGACCTGCCTTAATAACATAGCACTTAAATAAGGAGATTTAGGAATGGTCTTGTTTTTTTTATTGCATTTATTTATTTTTCTTCATTTTCCTGCTGGCTTCTGTGTCGAGTTCTGAAGGTTTCAGTCCCCAAGATCAGTCACGCAGATAACAACTGTTTTGTTTTGCGCTGACCCCAGTGAAAGAAAGTTCTCTTTGTGCATAAGATGAATAATTCAGCGAATCCTGTGTCGGGTTTGAGAAGTAGTAGTGGGATAAACATTTGTCTGCGGTCCTGTAAACGTAGACAATTGGGTCTCTGGTAGATGCAGTGTTACAGTTTTGCAAAGCATCATGTTTTATTGATGGAACCCCTCCTCCCTACTGCTCGTGGCTTCTCTGCTCCGTTGAAATGGTGTCATTTCGGCTTAAAATCAGAAGCACCCTTGGCTGGGCTTGTGATACCCAGTTTGATTGTGCATGTTGTTTGACTTTTCCCTTGATTTTTAACCAGCTGGGCTTTTGAAACAGGTAGATAAAAAAGGTGCTGCCCTTTCCTACTAGTTTCGCTCGCCTTTTTATGTTTGAAGAGGAAACTCTGATTCAGTATTTTCTTTGTAAGTTGAACATTCCTCTGTTAACCAGGGAGTTTTTTTTTCTGACGCTTCCTCTGCCTTCTGAGAAGGTCTGAGGGTGCACCAGGAGGCCGTCGGTGTCTGAAGATGAAGAGATTGGAATCCGTGAAGTATCTTAGAAAGCAGTCGTTTTCTTTCCCAACAGCCAGCCAGACGGTCTTTGCATCTCTCATCCCGGGCCGTGGAGATTTTTTGAGGCCGATAATTCAGCGAAAGCCGCTGGTTAAATATCGCTGTTTGCCAGGCGAGAGAACGATCCAAGAGCGCAGACACTCATCTGTCTCTGTCCCTCATGTCCTTTAGGCTCCCGGGGGGGGCTGTGGTGGGGATTCGCTTCTAAAAGGCTGAACAAGGAGCAAATTGCATGACATGTTGCCTCTTTCCCAAAATATACTGCCAGTCCTTAGAAATCTCCCTTTCTGTGTATTTGCAGACATTGTGGAAAGGTGTGCGGGGGGAGGGGTATAATCAAGTTGGCTTTGAGAATAACGTTTGACCGGCATTTAGGCTTTATATATCCGTTGTTATTTTTTTACGAGTGCCTACAGTGAAATATACCTCCTCGTAAAACTGTGGTTGTAATATTGCTATAATTTGCTCTTCATGCGGTAATGCTTTCATGAGCATATTTGTGACACAGGTTGCGTCTGGCAGCCCAAATTTATCCCGAAAGCAGAGGCCGTGCCAAAAGGTGCACCTTCCACAGCCGCAGCCCGTCAGGCAGCCTGTCCGGCCAGCGCTGGCATGTCTCAGGCCCAGAGCAGAGCCCCCTTCGCCCTCGTGAGAAGTTTCCTGCTGACTGCAAGAAGAACTTCTGCTTGACCCTTCTAACACATTTCCAGCCCAGTGAAGATGCTGTTTGATTGGGAAGCCATGCTTATTCGAGAGGAAAATCCGCACGGCAGAGACACGAGGAGAGCTCTGTGAGGGAAAGGGCTTTTAGATCAATGTTCCTCCCTCGAGAATTAATGACTTTTTGCACTAACAAGAGCACAGCAACAGTGATTTTATTATGGAGAGAGTTTAAACACACTAACTTTCTGCCAAGTGAAAAAAATGAGAGGGAGAAAAAATGTGTACAGCACCTACAGTAGCTGTGCACTAACAGTTTCTGACTTTGCTGAGTCCTGCAATGTTAGGTTAACTGGCATTACAGCATGTACAATCCAAGCCATACCCGGCAGCAGCTTGCTTTCTACCAAAAACATTTTTTCCCCATAGGGTTCGTCTGCATTTCTCAGGATGGCTTTCTTACTTATCTCTGCCGTCCTGCATTGCTCGCTTTAATAGCTTTTTAATATGAATGAGGCTGAGGCCAACACCCTGCTCTTAAATTGACACAAACGTGCTTAACCCCTATTTGACCTATCTGACTAAACATGCACAGTTGTTTATGTTTCTTCCGTTAGTGTTTGTGATCTGAAGGAAGAAGAGTGGTGCACAACAGTGTGCAGCGGTGTTGGCCAGTGTGTCCAACAGTGCGTCCAACCGTGTTCACCAGTGTGTCCAACTGTGTTCACTAGTGTCCCAACAATGTGCAGGGGTGTACAACAGTGTTTGCCAGTGTACAACAGTGTGCTGGAGTGTACAGCAGTGTTTGCCAGTGTACAACAGTGTGTAGGTCTGTGGACTATCCTCAGAGCAGGGGTAAAATGGATCCAACCAGTTAGGGAAAACCTCAGAGAAAGAATAGGAATTCTTGCTTTCTGATCAGATTTGTCACTCTGAAAAGAAAGTGTCTTGAATTCTATGCTTAGGCTTTTATTGGGGAAAATGGTATATATGCACACACGTATGCACACTTAAAAAGGCTGTAGTTACATACTGGCATTAAAAAGCACTTAAAAGTCCCAGCTTTTATGAAAGAATCATAGTATTAATGGATTGCAGGGACAGCGGCACTTAACTGGCTGTCTGATTGCAGCTATGGAGCTAATGGCAGACAGCAGGCTTCCCCGGGTGAGCTGGAAGAGGGAGCTGTTGGAGGTTAATGCTCCTCTGGGAGGCAGCCTGACCCTGGCATGGACCCTTTCTCATCATCACTGGTGTCAGTTAGAACATGTGCGTGCTCCAAAGTAGCGTTATTGCACCCTTTCAACATGGCGCATGTGTAAAGCACTGGAGCCGTTCAGCACCCGGGCCAGGGGTGAGTGTGGAGGAGAGCGTGTCCCGGTGTGCCCCGGCTGCCAAGCTGGCAGTGTGATTGTGGGACACGCAGGACAGAGAGGGCTCAGAGAACGCACCCCCTTCACCAGCTGGCTTCTCCTGGGAACTTCAGCTGCTTCCCCTGAGCTGGTCAAGTCTTCCTCGTTCCTCTGTGCTTCTCATTCCCAGCCTGTATTTCAAAGACCGCTGAGCTTCTTCAAATAAATCCATGTCAGCCTCTTCTTATAAAGTAAATGGGATCCCATAAGTCTTGACATCAAATATTTAAAACTGATATTCCCCTGTGACCACAATCCAGCCAAAAAACTGGTATTTCCACCCAAACCAGCCTTGAGTACAATCTGAGTTGCCAAAACCAGGTCACATGGCTCGTGCATTGTGATAAACTGGGTTTAAGGAGAGTGTTTGTGTGTGGTTCCGATCAGATGTTGGACAAGCTGAGGGAGCGCTGGATGCACACGGGCCTGTGGGGGAAGATGGAAGAGAGGAAGGCCGTCATCACCGAGCCCAAGGGAGGGGACAAGGCGGACTTTGATGAGCTGCTGCAGACGTACTATGAAGCCGTCAAGCAGAGAGGTAAGGCTGGGGCACTAATACAAAGGCACAGAGCCAGGCCTGGTTTCACCCTCCCCTGTGCTGAGCTCCTGGTTCATTCACCCCCTGGTGCTGTGGGTGATGCAGTTCAAGCCATAGGATCACATGTGGCGTATGGCTATGGCTGCCGTCACATCATCCAGGTGGGACTGCACCCTGGTGGTGGTGGAGGAGACCCCCATTACTTGAAAAGCTCTTTGAGTGCAGTGTCCAGGAAAGTGCTATATAAGTGTAAGGAATTATTATTGATATAAATTCTAAACGGCAACAGGCAGTGCAGTGGAGCTCTGATTGCTGGCTGCTGCTCGTTTTCCCAGGAGGAGCGCTGCTCATAGCGGTGTGCAGAGGAAAAGTCAGCGAGGGGCTGGACTTCACGGATGACAACGCGCGGGCCGTGGTCACCATCGGAATCCCTTTCCCCAACATCAAAGACTTGCAGGTGAGAGGGAGACGGTGAGACAGACTCCGGCCTCATCCGCAGCGTCGGAACCAAGCCTGCAAGCACTTCCTGCCTTGTTAGAGTCGTCAAGCGATTTTCAAAAAGGGAAAATCAATCTCTCTAAAACATGATGTCCCGTAGGCATATTCAGACTGCCAGCTAGTCACTGCTCAGGTACATTTTTAAGTATTTATGATCATCATATCATGTTCATTTTGGGAAAACGCAGATGAAAACCAGTGGTGACGTGTTTTGTGAATATGACCTTTAACATCCTTAAGGACTTCCTGGTAAGTGATTTTTAAGCGAGGAAAATTACTCCACTTATTATCTCTGTATATATTGATTTATTTTCCTGGAGTATCGTGAAGGTAGAATGCTGCTAGAATTCATCACCTATGGAATATCTTTTTATAATACATTTTGTTTCTCTTGAAATACTGTATTTTCTTCCAGCTTTCATGCATTAAGCACTATATGCACCACCTTGCCGATGCTTGTGTTGTTATTACATCCTCTATCTCCTCTTCAACGTCTTTGAGTGCTCAGACGCAAAAGGTTATAGGAGAAGCCAGACCGCTTTGTCAGAGGTCATGAGGAAATTAGAGTTGTTAGTTATTGTCCCCCCACTTTCCTGCTGCCTTCAGGAACACCCTTTAAGTTTTAAAACCTTTCTCCTCCCTCAAGTTTAGCTTTTAAAGAAGTAGTTTAAGTAGGTAGCCACGTCAGTATGCATAGGCTGCAAAAGAACAAGTGAAGGTTGTTTCTTCAAACCCGAAGAAGGCTCCACACCCGAAACGTTGTGTTTCTTTTCTTCTCTTTTCAGCACAGAATAAACCTTTACTTCTTCCTTTAAAAGAATTATGTTTCCGTATTTCCCTGCCACATTATAGCTTGGTTGTCAGGGACACATGTACCTCAGGAATGTGCTTTTTCGCGGGGCGGACAGAGTGAACGTCGGGGGACGCTGTCTTTCAGGCTGTTGTAACCAGCAGTGGAGGTGGCAGAGCTGAAAAGTTGATCTGTGCACCGGCTCGCTCTCGGGTAAACGGCACAGGCCCTTTCATGGCGCTGGCCCGTCCTCAGTCAGGCCTCTGGCGTCGGCCAACGACAAGTACAGGACGCCACTCTTAACGCACCACTTCTACATGGAGCATGAATTCAGCTTATTCTCATATACCTTGAATATTCAAACCCCTGTTTTTTCCTTCGTGATCGCAAAGAGGTTTCAGAAGCGCTTCCGTTGTGTTCGTCCTGTCCTTAGCAGGTGGCGCTGACCTTTCTGTTTTTGATCGTCCTGTCAGAGTGAGTTGAGTGAGTTGGCGGTGTCCTCTCTGGGTCAGTCACCGTGGGGATGCGCGCGGATAATTGACGCTTCTGCAGCCCCCCCCCCTCCCCCCGGGGGAAGGGTTTGATTTTTTTTTTTTCCCCATTTCCACTTCCGCTCCGCTGGAAACGGATCGAGGTTGCCGTTCACGACAGGGTTTCGGTGGCGCTGATTTGAGTGACGTCGCAGTCCCTCAGAGCTTGGCCCCTCGCGGCGCGGCCGAGGCAGGGAAACGTGCAAGCGCAGCCTGCTCGGGTCTGACAGCGCCGAAAGCGTTTAACGCCCCTAGCCCCAGATCACTTCTTCATTGCCCCGCGGCTCTTAGCGTTTTTGCGAGCATCCTTGAACGCTCAAGGGGTAAGGGCAGCAACCAGGCTGCATACTGAGGAGTTGCCCAAGGGGCAGCTGCCTGGGGGGGAGATGGGGAGGAGGAGGGAAGCAGAATGACGACTGCGAGGATCAGGGAGAGGCTCCCTGTGACTTTTCGCGAAGGAACATCATGGGGGATTATGAGTTCGAGTAGCAGAGGTGAAGAAGAACTTGGTTGCTGTCATCCCTCGCAAGGTTGTGTTAAAACTGATCTTCTAAAGTTTTTTTTTTAACTACTGATCATCTCTAGTAGTTTAAAACAATGTACCGGTCCCTCTGCACAAACAGTGTGTGTGTGTTCCTGGTGTAGATCACTGTGCTGAGCAGTCTGACAGTGTGTGTGTTCCTGGTGCAGATCACTGTGCTGAGCAGTCTGACAGTGTGTGTGTTCCTGGTGCAGATCACTGTGCTGAGCAGACTGACAGTGTGTGTGTTCCTGGTGCAGATCACTGTGCTGAGCAGACTGACAGTGTGTGTTCCTGGTGTAGATCACTGTGCTGTGCAGTCTGTCGGTGTGTTATTTTGTGTCCTAGTGTAGCTCACTGTGCTGGAAGTGTGTTCCTGGTGGAGCTCGCTGCGCTCTGCAGCAGAGGCAGGTGCAGCTCGGCGTCGGCAGTGTTCAGCTGTCAAGAGTGTGAGCCCACTGACACTGCCGGAGATGGAGCAACTGGGAATCTCTCTGACAGACACAAGATGGCTGAGGCCACCACAGGCTGCTTCGCACTGCTCAGCATAACGACTCATCTGTAAAGCATGCCTGATGGCTAAGTGTATGTTTTTAAGGATGAACAGGTACAAGAGGGAAAAAATGCTATCTTTTGACATTTTAACTAATCCTTTTTAGCCTGTGGTTTCCTGCACATTTAGGATATTTGCTAGGAGCGAGAATTGGCTTTTTCACATATGCAAGCTGTCATGTTGTATTGAGTGCTGACATGGTGCAGGGGATTGGAGAGCTGGATGTTGAAATGGATTCTGATTGTCTGATGCAGATGACATTTGTAGCCCCCTGGCTACTGGCCTTTACTTTCACGACTGGCTCCTGAAGTTGCTGGTTTAACCCTTGTGGTGCAACTGGAACAGTTCTGTGGCATCGTCAGGAAGGTAATAGCCCCTACAGAGCTGCTGGGGTCAGGGTTGCAGACTTGAGTGGGCTATTGGACAGATCAAGGTTCAGTTACTGCTTTCCTGTTTTACAAAGAGCAAAGTTCGCACAGTCAGAGGGACAAGCTTATATATATATATAAAATAAGTGGGATTTAGTACACATAAAACCGGGCCTCACAACAACAAGACACTTTGACCATTGCTTTCTTTGGTTAGATGGATTGATCTTCATAGGCATAGATTGATGAATAGGCATAGAGTTGCTGAACACATTTGATGTGTAGTCCACTTATGTTTAAGGGTTTAAAAACCTAACTGTTACAACTGATAGGAGGCTCTTTGGACCATCTAACCTATCTTGTAGTTAACTGTCCTGAGGATATCACCTTTTTATTAATACCTTGTAGCCTGATGTCTCCAAGCAACTCCACACCTGGCAGTACTGGACTGGAAGACCATTGAGGAAAACCGGGTTGTTGGTATATGTAAACTGCGTAGGGTTCACTTGGTTTAAAATACTCTATACAAGCACAAGGAACTCTGAATTATTCCTTTACATCTGAAAACACGGGAAAACATGTTCAGTTTAATAATTAGCGATTTTGTATCAGGCCTCCACCATACAATCTGAGGTTATTGGGATATCACAGTTTTCTTCTACATTTAGAACTAAAAAAACGTGTCACTTTGACACTTGGAACTGCAATAAGAGATAAATAAGGGTTCTAAGAATTAGACCTTTCCTTAGCTGCAGAATCTGTTGCAGTTATAACTTTGAAACATGGTGTATTAATTACCTGTCCTAAGGAAATCCAGATTTTTAAAGCAACCATGTAACTTTTCGAAGTGTGTAATACTTGTCTTATACTGGATCAGCCCAGCTGGGTGGCTGTGCAGGTCCGCCAACAGAAACAGCCCTTGTCAATAGCTGTGAATGGAGGGGCGACTCGGTGCGATCTCCTGGGGTCCCAGCTGAAAGCCGTGTGTGTTTTCTGGAAGACGGGGGTGTGTATGTGTCTGCTGTACCTACCATCTACAGCTGCCCACAGGGCTGGACTTACCTGTCAGAAACGGTTAGAGGTCTTCTCCAGCCTGTCCCTGAGCACATTCTGTCAGACAGGAGCTGAACTTTTCACTTGTCAATTCAAGAAAGGTTAGTGCTAAAATACAGGGCGATGGGTGAAAATTGATGGAGCTTTCATGGCATTTCTGTGGCAAGGATGTGGTCTATTTTTTTTAGAGTTTCTCCCTCCCTCCACCCCTCTCTTTTGCCCCCTTCATAACAAATATGTCCATGAGGGCACCTAAGTATAAAGCTCTTTGGGCCTTCAGTGTTGTCTGCCGGAATGGGCTGCTGTCCTCTGCTCTCCCCGCCTCCTCTTCAGTTTCCACAGCTCTGATTAATCAAATTATTTCTCGATCAATACACTTGATTCCCCCTTCAGGAGAAGAGAGGCATTGTGCATTAAACAGGTGCCGCCTGACAGAAGCTCTGATCGTCTTGACTGCTTGCCCGACGTCAGCTTCAGCTTCTGAATATTTCATCCAAAAAGACAATAAACAAAGGTCACAAGCTGTTACCTTTCCTGTCGCAGAAACGTGACTGAACATGTGCAGAAGAGGGTGAATTTCATAACACGGTTTTCAAGACAGAAACTAAATGACAATTCTAATTTTAATTTGGGCTTTTCAAACTATTTTTTGTTCTTTTTTTTCCATGTAAATGTTTGTTCACTGTTGACTCTTACATTGTTTTATGCCAATCTGTTCTGAACTACAGGGATGCCTTTTCATTCATAATGTAAAACTGAATTGCTTCTAAGCTTGTTCATTTTGAATAGTGTTCGGATCCCGGTTCACCCAGATTTTACATTCCCCAAAACCGTTTCAGTTTCAACGGTGAAGGGTTTAGTGAAGAGGTGCAGTTTCTGGCGCGGGCAGGGGGGTGCGTGGGAGCTGTGTTTGTTCATGAGCGGGAGTCAGAGACAGACTGAAGGGCCTCTCTGCTGTCTGGCAGGTGGAGCTGAAGAGGAAGTACAATGACCAGCACTGTAAGGCTCGCGGTCTCCTGCCGGGCAGCCAGTGGTATGAAACGCAGGCCTTCCGTGCTCTCAACCAGGCTCTGGGAAGGTCAGCACAGTCCCTTGCAGGCTACGTGCCGCTACTTCTCTGTGTTTTCTGTCATGCCCTCATCGCCTCCGTGAACGCATCGCACTTCTTATTTGACCTGCCCTGTTTCTGTCTGTCTTTCTCCGTCTCTTGGTCCCTCTGTGTCGCTAACTCCTGTCTCCTTCCGCTTTTTTCCCTCTGCCTCTCTTTCGCGGTCTGCGTGTCTCTCTGTCCTTCTGTGTGTCTGCTAGCCCTGCCGTTTCTCTCTATTCACACCCTCTTTACCTTTGCTTCTGTGCCTTCCTCCATCTGGAGTGACCGGTGCCTAGAGTTGGTTTTAAGACGACTTGCCTGCCCTCTCAGGTGTATCCGGCACAAGAATGACTGGGGGGCTCTCATCCTGGTGGACGACCGGTTCAGGTGCAACCCCAATAAATACATCACAGGTAATCCATGCTGCAAGTACTTGTTTGAATCTCAGGTTCAGTAAATCACAGTAATCTCAGCTCAATGCACAGCACTGTTCAGTTTATTCTACAGGCTGTACTACCCCAAGATGAGCTCAGGGTCTTTCTAAGGCATTCTATCCTTCAGATGTTTTTATTTACAGCTCAGTCCTACTCCTTTCTTGCTCTCTGAAATGGAATCGAATACATGGAAGGTGTTGTGTCAGCTTGTGCAGTTTCGCTCATTAAACACTAGGTGGAGCTGAAAGCCCATCAGAGCTGAATGGGGCTGAGCTGCTGAGACTCAAAGCTCTAGTCTGTTGAATAGCTTCTGTAATCCTTTGTTCTCTTTGCTGCTTTTTACATATTGTGCTGAGTAAGCAAATATATATGTATAGAAACATGTACAGGTTTATTCCATGCTGAAAGGAGAAGAAAGGAAACACAACGTTTCGGCTGTGGTGTAGATCTATCAGGTGTTCACCCCGTGTGTTCAGTGCCCTGTTCGTCTGTGTGCCCTCAGGTCTGTCCAAGTGGGTGCGTCAGCAGGTGCAGCACCATGCCACCTTCAGCAGCGCGCTTCAGTCCTTGATCACCTTCTCCCAGGGACACCAGGGTGCAGGGGCAGTCAGCGCAGCAGGGCAGGGGGAGCCTACAGCCCCAGAGCTCGGGAGCCCAGACCCTGCTGCACCACGGGGCACAGCCAGCCCTCACTGGGGCACTGCACGCCTGCATGACACGGGCCAGTCCGCGGCACCTGCTCCTGATGGGGTCCGGCTCCCCCTTGCAGGTAGAGTGATATACTGGGACACCCACGGAGCAGGACAGCCCCGTGCCCATGCCCCCTGGGTTGCTCTGTGCCTCGGTGTGTCGTGGTCATCGTGTAGCCCAGGGATCTCACAAACTCCACCAGGTTTCACAGGTTCCCATTAAATCACCAACTTCTAAAGATACAGAACAATTCTGGGTGAACCTTCCTTATTTTGGACTAAAATCTAAGTACTTGGCAGCCCTCATGGACTACAGTTCACTTAATTCTTGAATCATCAATAGTTTACAGGTGTTGCTCATACTTGTGCTTACAAGTGACCTGTAAGACTAACTGGACTGGGACTCTCTAGAACCAGGAAGGAGACCAATTCTGTAGCCAATGACTAGGTGTTCCACTGAGTTCTTCACTCATTCCCTCTGGATGTGATTCCTGACTAGTTTGTGTTCTGTGTGCTGGGGTGGCTGTACAGTAGTTTCCCTCTTTCTGACTCTGGGCTGGAGCACTTCACCCTGCCTCAGCCCGGCAGTTCCCTCCTTGTCAGAGGACGTTGGGGTCAAGCTTGGACTTTGCTGATCTGGAACCGCAGCCTTTATTCAGAGTTACAGTATGGCACCATTGTCCGTGAGATGTGTCGGTTTGTGCAGCGGCTACTCGCGGCGCTGTGCTGTTTCTGAAGTCGGGGGTTGCGGTTGAAGGTGGAGATCGGGATAGAGGGTTTCCTCTGCATGTCAGATGGGGTTGAAGCTTGGTAAGGGGGAGGATATGAGGCCGGGGTTGGGGTTGGGGGGGGGCTCTCATTATGGCACTCTGTCCCGCAGGCTGCACTCTGCAACAGGGGTGAGACTGTTGCTTTTAATTAGATCCCATTGACCTTTGCTTGAGTTAGATTGGGGGTGACTGTATTCAGATGAGGATGAGCTGAGCCTGAGAGCTGAATGCTGTCCTTCATTCTGCTGGCGTCTTGTCTTCACCTGGGCCTCCTGCCATGCCTCATCGTGATGTGCATTTCTTCCCTCACTGATTTCTTCTTCCTGACAAGATCACTGCTGTAGAGCATTTGATGTGTGTGTAGAAAACGTACCTATAGAACAGGATGGTATCAATCTGAACGCAGCTTAGATTTGCGAGCCCACTTTCTTGACATGTCACCCGAGAACAGTAAATACACAGTAACGTCACTGTATTCGCTTTAACTTTAACTCTCTTGCCTGTTAAAGCTGACTCTTAAGCACGCAAAACACATTAAATCCGGGGCTGGGTTTGTGTCTCCTGAATTGTATTCATAGGGAAATCACCACATCACATAGCACACTTACAAAGAGTATGTTCATAAAAATGGCAGGGGACGATTAGACCATTCAGGGTTATTGGATATTTTAATTGTCGCTTTTACATCCTGAGTGTCAACCCATATGTCCAGAACTCAAAGCGCTGCTTCCCACATTTACATCAGATGTTGCATAATGACAGCCTTGAGATCCAGACTCGGACACTGGGCAGTTTTGTTAATGGGTCTGTAGTATAGCAGACAAAGTCTTAAACAGTCCAAAGTTGAGTTAGTGCAGTGAACCTCCTGTGAAGATGTGTTGCAGGCTGACATGTTGCATGGTGTGTTTTTTTGCACAGGTGACCAGGTATCCGTGCATCAACAAGCACGGCTTCTGTCTTCCCCCAGGCAGAAGGAGGGGCTCATTGAGGAGAGCACCAGTGCTGATGTCAACACTGCACAGCTGGGTAGAGGACAGAGGCCACAGGGAACCTCACCCCAGCTATTCGACATGCTGCTTACCTCCACACCTGTCTGCAGCTCGTTTAAGAAGCCCATCTTCAGCTCCGTCACACCTGGGAGAGAGCAAAGAGATGCCCCTCTTCAGGAACCAGCTGCAGGGGTGAAAACAGCAAAGACAGCAGCCAGCGAGGAGAGGAGAGTTCAGCCCGATGGCAGACAGAGAAGCCCTGCAGAGTTCAGTGGCGGTGGGGAGCCGGGCGACAATGGTGAAGGTCCTGAATGCACAGTCTTGGCGTTCTCCCCCATCAAGCCGGCTGCCAGCCCTGACCGTACGGAGGTTGGGGCTGGGTGCCCGGTGGTGGAGCCCCAAGATCGGGCGGAGGAGGAGGACCAAAGCCTTTTCTTCACCCCAGAACTGTTCGAAGGTGGGGAGGAGAGCGATGTGGAAGAGGGTTCCAACACTAGGCAGGCGTTACCCTGCGGGACAGAATTAGAGACAGAACCTGTTGTCCTGGGTGTGGATGACACCCCAGCACCCCACCTCTCTAAAGGAACAGTCCATGTTCTCTCAGAGGACGACCTCAGCTCTGATGAGTGTGCAGGACCCTTAACTACCGTCGCCCAGAAGGGTGATGCTGCCCACATGTGCGGACAAGCTGTGTCAGAGGCCCACACGACCAGAGAGGCAGGCAGGGACAGGGACAGCAGTAGCACAAGGAAGGATGAGAGTGTAGACTTAACAGAGTGGGCACCCACACAGACACAAACAAGCCACAGGACACACAGGCTGTCCAGGTCTAGAAACAAAGGCGCATCTTCTTCAGCAGGTAAAATCACGAGTTACTACCCTTTACTCATCCAGCACACAGATCACGAGCCAGGGGCCGTTCAGATAGTTGATTAGAGTGTCTTTATGTGGAAAGAGCAGGGTTTAAGGTTCCAGCGAAGACTCCCTTTCTGTGTTGATCATTTTGTCACTTTAGTTATTTCTGACACAGCTCCAACAGACTGTGACAGTGTCACCGCCCTTGGTCTGCAGGAGTACTTTTATTTCATTCTGTCCATTGTGAAATGCATGGCTAATGAAACATGCCAAATTGGAGAATTTTTTTGTATGTTAATACGGCCTTGTTATTCTGTTTTTTAAGTCATTAAAAAAGATGATGTGTTCGTTATCTTCCTCAAATGAAAAGCTATGTGCAGTTTTAATGAGATGTATGTGGGGCTGCCCAGCACACAGTCAAGCCTGACTTCACATTGGTGGGGAGTCGTACACTTCACGGGAAGATTACAGAAATCCATTACCCCTGTGTCTTAATTGTGTGAACATATAGCATAAACATTTGAGCTTCCTAATCATTCCGAACACACAAATGAACATTAAAAACTGTTAAGAACTGTCACTTCTTCATTTTGTTACCATTGGCTCACATTTTTCTTGCAGAAGAAAAGGATCCTGCTTTACTTACAGTTTAGCAATCGAGAAAAAGAAAAGCCAAAATTCACAAAGTTTTATACAAGTAAATACAATATATGTGTAATATGAATTATTAATGTATGTGTAGGATCTATGAGATACCTGGGGTGTGAGCTTTTGGTGTGTCTCTGGTGGGAGATGGTAGCAGCTGGGAAGAACCACTTGGCAAAAGTGGGACTTCAGTTGTATTTTGTCATGATGATGTACTACAGACATGGCACTAGACCCCGTATTTCATAGTGTCCGACTCTGTCTAAGACAGCTTCTGTTTGTTCGCCTGAATCCACTTGGCATCCTTGAGCAGTCTCTAAACCTGAGGAAATTGTAATACAGGGAGCAAACTACATTTCTGCAGCAGGATCAAAGACAACGGGAATCCCCGTGAAGCTGGCCATGGATCGTGCCCACCTTGTTATCATCTGTTGTTTCCATAGCCAGCTTTTCCATGCCCTGGATCTCCTACAGCCAAATATCAACCTTTTTCCAATCCCAAATGCGGGTATGGGATAGGCAGCCTTACGGGAGTAGAAGCCTGTTAAAAGTCTTTGCCAGATCAGTATTTATACCTTAGCGCACTGCACTGTGTCAAAGCAGTATACAGAAAAGGACATCACATGATGTTGCCCCATGCCATGCAGAACTCTGTTGGTGCATCTGGGCCTTTTATTTACCAAGTTGGAATGCAATTAAATTAGTTTTAATTTACCAATCATTCTTGTACATTAGTTCTAGAATAGGACTGGTCACTGACCTGTAAGGGTTCTGAGAGGGTCTCTGGGACTTTTAACACCTATAGACACCTGGTTCCCTTGTATGTGAGGTTGGTAGTGTCTTAGCTCACTGCTCCTCAGCGTCTGGTCAGCGAGACACACAAGGGTCAGGGAATGACGTCACTTGACGTGTTTCAATTTTAATTTAGCCCACAACATTCTCGGAGCTGTTTGTGTTCAGCAGGTTTTATGGATAAGTTTTTACTTTGGTAAAATGATAGGAAAGAACAGATCTCTTCTCCTAACCTTTGATGTATTGATAGTAAAATAAGCACAGAAGGACAGGAATACAGTTCATATAAAGGAATAGTAAGGCAGAAATCTGTACATAAACCTCTTCCTCTGTGTCTCATGTTCTGTGCATCTCGCATATAGCTGAGCCCTTGTCCGTGTGTGAGTTTATTGGTAAATGAGCTTCTGAAACATGTACTCTTCCCAATTTAAGAAAAAATGGGACTATATTAACAGCAAAAAACATTTTTAAATATGCATGCTTTTGTCATTTCTAGGGCAACAGGGTTAGTTAAATCCACTCAATTGAGGCGCCAGGCTAGAAGTCTGGGCAAATTAACCACCATTAACTTGACAAGTTTTATTTTGCTCCGTTAACAGGAAGCTGTCCTGAACGGGGCAAACAAAACAACTGGAAAAAATTAATTCACAGTGTGTTCTAATGTTTTGTATGTAGTAATTACATGACACAAATCACTTTTTCAAGTCAGAGTTAATTAGGTAGTTTTAAAAGTGTTAGTGGTTGTGCTGTATTGAAGGCTAAAATATATACATAATGCACATTTGTGCTATACCATTTTATTAATTTTGTAAATTAATCTAACATTGTTGCCGTTGTCCAGATATACAGGCGTTTGCATCCAGTTCATCCAGTGTCAGAACAAAACAATGCAAGAAAACAGTGTTTAAGAACTGGATTCAGTGAGTGCTGTCACGGCCTCAACATTTCTTAGCATTCATAAAAGGAAGAAAAACAGATGATGTATTACTTCATATATTACAGAAGATATATTACTTCTCCCTTTTCTTCAATTGCCAGACCTGCAGCATAAACGAGAGGCTTTGATTCGCAAGGCAGGGAAGGGCAGGCAGAGAGCAGAGAGGCTGCGCGGGGCTGAGGCAGGCACACGGGCCTGGGGCAGTCCGGCCCCAGTCCGGCCCCTGAGAGCCGCGGAGCAGGTCGGTCTTGCAGGGGACCCTCCTGCCCCTAGGGGCGGGGGTCCAGACTCCGCCGCGGACGAGAGGGAGAGCCAGTACTGGACTGTGCTCGGCCAGGCTGCAGAACCGGCTCGCTCGGCCCGAGCGCAGAGGAAGGCCGGCCATCCCTGCAGGACAGCCGGAGCCAGGGGCGTGGTGGGGTGCTCTGGGTCGCCGCCCCGGCCAGCCGGACAGAGGAAGGGTAAAATGGAGGAACCCCAGCTAGACCCACCGAGGCCTGTCTGGGAATCGGAGGACCAGACACACCCTCCTCCTCTTCCGCCACGCCGAGGCACGGTCAGGAAGGCGGCGGTTTCCTGCCACCAGTCCGGCACCAGACAAGTCAAGCAGCATATCTCTCGCAGTAAGTCAAAGAAGGACAAGAGGCCGCCTGGCTGAGCTCTGGGGCTCTGCATGAGAGGCTGGCAGTCCCAGGACTTTCAGGGGACAGTGCTAAGGCATGGCTCAGGCACAGGAGTGGCAGGAGAGTCTTATTTAGGTCAGGGAGCATTCGAGAATGTGTCTGCTGTGGGCTAGCTAGGGACTAAACCTTAAAGTAAGGTCACGCTGTCCTCTGTCTCACTGACTTAACCACAGGATTGCAACATGCCTGTTAACACTGGTGTATAGATCATCTAAAATGGTTCAGCATCATCTTCACTCGCTGTTATTACTGTCCAGACCCCTGTCTCATGTTTTTCCCTGTAATCTTGCAAACGTGTCTGTGTCAGATCGGGATCCTTTGGTATTTACTTATACTTCTGTTTCCAAATAGAGGAGCATTTAGGACTTTATGTACAGCGGCATCAATCTTATTGTAACAACGCCAGTATAGTTAGTTCCACCTCAGAGTGTGAGGAAATGAATCTCAATCATTACATAGTATTCATTATCTGTGCGATCCTGTAAACAACAGCTGCAATTATGATAGAGTTAACAAAATCTTTTTCATGGGGTAGATGTGCCTTACAAATGTGTCTGTGTTAGAAAAAGCGGTTGTCTAAATCCATATATTCCCATCGACATCGAAAAGGATGGGTATAAAGAGATTCCTGGGTTTTAGGTAGAAGACACAAGGGCGGTTCTTCCAGTGCAGGAAAGGGATGAACTGCGAATGGGTGCTGCTCTCATAGTAGATCCCTACAGGGCAGCATTGAGAATTGGCACAGCACTCGGATGAAGTTATTGGCTCGCGAGCCAGCCCGGAGCTGGTGCCATCTCACTTCAGCTCACAGCACATGAGCGCACAGCCCCGCGCTGCCGTCTGCTCTGCGGTGTGTGCTGGGCAATATCCGCCTCCACGGCTCCCAGTCCTTCTCCACTCTTCGCACACGTGCGATGAGCCCCGCAGCCTGCCCGAGACAGCACAGTGTGATTCAGATCTACTGATACACTTCCTGCCAGTGGCCACAGGCCTGGAAGTGCCCTGCTCTCGTGGTGGTGACTAAGCGTGTGAAACGGATAGTCCGGCTGCAAATCCCTGGTGCCACTGATCATCTGTCACGTCTTCAGCTCGTGGCAAGAAGAAATGTGGCCTCTAATAAAGTCCAGCCTGTCCATGCTGGTTTTTCAAGGAACGTGTTTTCTTTTTGGATCGCAGGAGGCCTTGATCTCTGCAGAGCGTGTTCGTTTACGGGCAGAAGGAGTTTTATTGATCGGACTGTGTGTCCTTTTTGAACTTCCCAGGGATTAAAGCTCAAAGCAGGGGATGGAAAAGCAGGAAGCTCGGTACACCTGATGCCAAAACTTTCTCCCAGAGAAGAAGGGTAACATATCTGCTGTTTGGATCCCTAAAGTACTCTTAAATTATGACCTCCTAACCTAATCATTTTGTATACTGAGCTTTGTGTATTACAAGCATCTATGTTTTTTTACTTATTATTAATTACTAGTTTATCTGTATGACCTTTTAATCCAAGGCAGTTTTTAATTATACCCATTTATACAGCCAGGCATTTTTCGGATGCAGTTTGGACAAGTACCTTGCTCCAAGGTGCAACAGTAGCGTCTCACCTGGGACTTGACCCTAACACCTTTCAGTTCCAAGTCCAGAACCCCGACTACTGCTCCCCCATGTTCTTTAGTGATTCAACAAATGCCTTTTGGATTTTTTAGGAAATTCTGGAAATGAAAATATGACAGTAGTTTCAGTGAATGGAACTGAGCTCTCGTTGTCATTCAGAGAGACCTCGGCCGTGACCCCTGTCAGACTGGGCTTTACTGTGCAGAGTGTGGAGCTGAGCTGCTGCACTGTGCCGAAGGTGAGTCACAGGACAGGAAGAAGAAATCCATCTTCCCTTCGGGCCCAAGTTCAACACCCTGCAGCAGCTGAGAACGAGCATGACGATGGCATCCGTGCACAGAAGAGTTCATTTCTCTGAACAAAAATAGGCAGTGGATGGGAGTATTCCTGTCTTGATAAAATGGGGTATTTAGACATCCGGATTTGAGTTTGATTTTGAATGTAAATTTCTGTTTATTGTTGATATAAATGCGTAACCTGACCCTGAAAGCATGTCTTATTTTAGAAATTTGACTGCTCTGCGTTTCAGGTGCACTGAAGAGAGCTGTGTGTGAGAGGCAGGATGTGGCCACGCTGAGGGACTCTCTCTCTGGGGTCAGTGTGGCCCAGGTAGAGTGCCCCTGTGTGCCCCTACGTCCGCGTCCTCCGGCCAGCCCACTCCTGCTGCTGGTGGAGCTCCCAGCTGCCTTGCAGGCCCTCAGGGACTCGCTACAGGCTTGTGAATCTGGCGTCACTCACCAGGGTAAGGGGCACAGCTGTGCACCAGGACAAGACACCTATTCCAGTGCCTTCCCAAGGTGCACTGGTGACCTGCCTAGAGCAAGAGTAAACAGGTTTTTCCTTTTCCTTTCCTGTGCAGTGGTGAGAGTCGCTTACGTATGATAGTATAGTAACTGCTTGCATGTGCAGTGTGCACTCACTTATTCACATCCTATTTTTTGTGATGGATCTGTCACCTTACCAGGAGTAGAACTTGGGAGATTTCTGTGTGCGTCCAGTTTTGACAATATTTTTAATTAGGGACATTTAGAGAACATTATGATGAGGTGCTGGGGAATAACAGAATGGTGCTTGATTTCTGAACATTAACAAATGACCCAAGCCAGTGCATAGTTTTGTTTTTGCAGGATTAAAAATTGCTTTTGTTATAATACGTCCACTCCATCACGATGAGGTGTTTAGCATGACCGCTCCTTGATGAACCATCATCATTTATGTGAAACCCCCGAAACGGGTGAAATGAAGCGCCTCACAGCGTCTCGTTTGTTTTTTACGGTGGTGCTTATGCCTTGTCCCGTTGTTTTTCTTTCGCAGGCCTGCAGACAGGCTTATGTTTAAATGCCATCTGGAACCCCAAGGAGGTCTCAATTACCCGGCTCTTACAGTGCAGGAGCTGCACCTCCCTGCGTCCCCCTAGCTGCTCCGTCATCGCGGCTGACGTCTCACACCCCCAGGACAGCACCGCCGACCAGGTAAGGAGCACAACCCTGTGCTTTCAGCAGCAGAGCAGAGTCCAGCACCTGCAACTGTTTGTGCACAGTTCACGTGCTGCCAGATAAGACAGTCGGGCAGAGGAGTGTTCATTACCCAGGCAGTGATGCCCTGGGGCATCATCTGGGAAGGCTTAAAGGAGGAGCAAGAGTGATTCCTGGTCCACGTGTTGTCACCTTATATCTTCAAGAAGCTCTTCCAGTCATTTTCCACCCATCTAGACAAGATTGCATTGTCATGCGCGTGCAACAAAGCAGTGCACGCTGTCTTGAACCCTGAAAGAGTGCAGGTGCCCAAGGCTCCCCTGGGGCTTTGCAGAGACACACACCCCTGTCCCCATGCTTTCTTCCACTTCCCTGGTAGGTCCGGGGGCTTGATCAGGATAAGGCCAGCGTGACTCCGCTGGTGCGCATCAGTCTACATGGCCTTGCAGGTTCAGCGGAGGAGAGCGTGTGTAATTAAAGAAAAACACCGCCACCAGCTTATTGTCGGCAAGATTGTGAACGGGAAATGTCAGGGGATGCATGCACCCACACACCAAAGCCATGAGTGTACAGTATGCATGGTTTTTGGTTTCTTTTGTACAGTGTAATATTTTATACAAAATATTGAGTAGATTCAAGAAATACGCTTGAAGAGTTCCGCCTCACAGAGCTGGTGAGGAGTCCAGATTTGCCTGGGTGCAAGCCGGAGGGAGCTGCAGTAACCGATGCAAGAGTGAGCGTCTCCCACATCTTGACCGTCTGCTCACCCGGTGGTGCCCCTGCACGTGTGATCAGCCCCCTGCCCCTTTCCTTTTCAGTGAGTTCATTTTCTTTTCACATATTTGGGATTTTCGGACCCGCGCAGTAAAAACAAAGTCCCCGTCCCACGGCACGTGAAAAGTGAATGACGAGGACAGAATGACTTTGAGTCTCGGGAAAGAGCAGTAAGTCACGGGAGGGCAGAGGGGAATGGACCTCTGCCTGTGTTTTTCTGCTCTTTGTGGTGCATTTCTGTCCTCATAACGGAGGGGTCCTGCCTTCACTTGGCCCAAGTTCACCAGCCTGTTGTTCAGCATGTTGTCTTCAAAGCGTAGCACAAAGTGTCTTCCTTCTTTTGTTCGGTTTTTCTTTATTGACCTGGTACTTGCTCACTTCTCGCCAGCAGCCATAGCACCCTGCAACTCTCTGAAGCTCAGCAGGTGTGAGCCTGGCCACTACCTGCATGGGAGACCTCCTGGGAAAACTAAAGTTGCTGCTGAAAGAGGTGTTAGTGGGGGCAGTAGGGGGTGCTCACCCTGCATTCTGTGTGGGTCCTAATGCAGCAGTCCTTCAGTTGAGACATAAAACTGAGGTCCTGACACTACATGGTCACTAAAACTCCCAGGGTGCAGTGATGAGCACCGTGGTGGGTGAACCCTACAGCAGGGTGGGGGAGGTGAGGGTATTAGTCAATTAAAGGTGCAGCAGCCCAGCGTTCAGCTGCAGCTCCTGTAATCCGTCTGTCATCGCTGCTGCTAAGACTTGGCCCTGACCAAAGTTTTTGCAGCCCTAGAATTGAATAAAAAACGCTTATCGGCTAAAGCGGCTCTTTTCGGGAATTAGTCGACTAATCTGCTTTCTGCACATTTCCGTGCAGACAAGTAGAATATGTGCACGGGGAAGATCATGGTGGGCTGCAGAGTTTAAGGGCTAAACGCAAATAACACAACAGGGCCTGAGGTCCGAGGGGCTGAGCTGGTTTCAGTTAGCTTTTCAGGCACCCTTTTCAGGTAGGCAAGGTCCTGTTTTCATGACAAATGATTTGGCTTCGATGCTGTGCGTGTTTTGGGAGCTGTCAGATGTGAGTCCTCGGCAGGCTCACAGTGGCTGGTCAGCCAGCACAGGGGAGTATTTTCAGTTCCCTTTTATCTTGCTGAGCTACTGACTCCAAATCCTCCATCATTGCAGGAGCTGATGTGCCCTGTGAGGCACAATTAGAACAAGATACCCACATTGCTGGGCAGCTACTGGACTCTTTTAGAACATCCGTGCAACTCACTGTCTTTTACCCCTTTTTGTTTTAAATGAAAGAAGCAAAACTGTTAAATGTTGTCATACAGAAGTGCGTGCAGTTCTCCAAACCCCAGGAAAGGTTTTATCTCCAGATTCTCATTTAGCATCTCATCAGGTTTTTTTTCTTCTTGTACGTAAAGAGCCGGGTTGTAACATGAATTTCACTGTGGGTGTCGTAAGACAATGGCATTCTGATCGGAGCCGTGTTGTCCTGAAATAAATATAATATCAAAGTGCAAATGTGGCCTGATCTGAGTTTATTGCTTTATTGCTTGTTCCACTGGTTGGAGGATCGTCCAAGGTGAGTTTGCAGGAGATGCTGATGTGAGGGGATATGCAGGGCTGTGCTTTTCCCTCTGCCTTCCCTCTTTCATCCAGCACGCTTGCTTGCAGACGCAGAGGGCTCACCTTCTCACTTAACGTGTCAAGAAAAGCCAGTCCGCGCCTCTGGTGCTAAAACTGCCCCCCTTCCCCGGGCTGGGTGGCTGAGCAGCCCTTTGTCAACACCCTTTGGCCTTCTACTTGAGTAGCTCTGGCTGGGCGATTAGGGCCTCCCTGCTCAACTGATGTGACGGTCCAAGGGTTTGCTTTGTTTTCTGCAGGGTTCTTATTTTGTCCATCATGTCACGCCGTTTGGTAAAGTTGTCTTCCAGCACGCCTTCTCAATACCAGCATGACCTCAATCTGAGCAAAGCCCGTCGAGACGGCAGCAAGGGGCAGGCTGTGCAGCCAGGCCGTGCCACGCTCCTGTTTGCAGGAGTGCACGTTATTTGGTTATCATCACATGTTAATCAGACTCATCATTGTGTTTAATAAAGATTCATCTGCCACGCGAATGCATAATCTTCTCTGTCCTAGTAGCTGCCTTTTGTCTGGAGCAGATTGCTAAAACAGCATTCATTTGCCTGTGTATATTTTCCACGAGACTGAAGCTCATTATTATGCAAACGGCTACCCTTAGCAGTAGCCTGTTAATGCTCTCCGTCTTTAATTTCTAATAGGCCCTCATTGTTATGAGCACATGAAATAATTGCAGATTATGTTCATCCAAAAGTAAGCCGTCTAACGTCCCCTTGCTGACATGCTTTGTATGATGTTAAGGAGCAGACGTTTTCTGCTCTGGAAAAGAAATATTGACAAGCTACTGTAATGAAGTGAGGTTACAGTTAACTTCCAGTAATTGCATGAAGATCGTTTTCTTTATCGCAAAAATATCTGGGGCATTATCAGGCCGTAGCAATAAAGAACACTCATTTATTAATTATTAATTAACCGACTACTTAATTATTTTCTCAGAAGGTTTGATGGTCTTGATTAACAGAAGAAAATGCAGTTGTTTTTGCCATAGTTTTTATATCGTTGTGCATTTTTGTCTGTAATGTATTTTTGAAAAACGTGAAAGAAAGGAAGAATTTGCAGATCGTACTGGAACGTGGCAATTACCATATTTTTCCTGGCTTCAGGTTTAAAAATGTAATTAGGCTTTTAGTGCAAAGTGTCCTTTGCATTATTTAACACATTTGTGCACGTTTCCCCGACGCTTAATTTAATTTTTTTGAATGTCTTGTGTTATTTAAGATGCAAGTCACAAGATGCAAGACACAACAATAGGGGTACTTCGGAGTTATTCTCCGAATTTTCTTTCAATGGTAGAGCATCTTCTGAAGGCTAAGGTGATTCCTATTTATTTCCCTTACAAACACCTGCTTCAGCTCTATATCTACTGTAATGTTATGTGCAATAGAAGAGCATGAAGAGGTTCATGGATTCGTGATGTGTCTCGATCGCCCCTTCTAAGTCTTTCGTCCGAAAGCACGTTGGCGGCAAGGCCCGTCAGGGTGCGAGGCTCAGGCAGCTCCTCGGTGGGGTGACGTTCTGAAAGCATGGCGAGGTGTCGGGCAGCGTGGCTGTGACCTGGAACAGCTCGCTCCCAACGGGAGAGCCGGGAGCCCTGGGCTGGCACCACTGCCGCCATGCGGAAGGGATTGCGCTGGTGGGAATGGGGGGGCGGTCGTCTGTCTGACACGTTCTTGTGTTCTGGGGTGGGGGGAGGGCGCTCCCTGAGGCAGGTGGCGTGCCGAGGGCCGTGGGGAGGTGCGGGGGGTCACGGGCAGCGTGTTTGGGGGTGTTTTTGTGAGCCTGCAGAGGATTATTAATTTATTAAAGGTGCAAATGGGCAATCCGCACCTCCTGTAATCCGTCTGTCATCGCAGCTGACAGGACTTGGCCATGACCAAAGTTTTTGCAGCCTTAAAAACCGAATAAAAACGCTTATCGGCTGAAGGGGCTTTTTTCAGGAATTAGTCTGCTAATCTGCTTTTTGCAAATGCAAGAGCAGACAAAGATATACGTGAGAAGATAAAGCCCGCATTTGGCGTTTGTTTTTTTAAAAGTTAGTTTTTGTTGATTTGGAGGCAAATGCTTTCACAGAAGGGACATCTGCGGTTGTTAGATGTGATTCATCTGTTTAATTAAAAAAGACAAGAGTTGTATTACACATTTTGCATTTCTAGAGCGAGCACTGGGAAGAATAATATTTATTTCATGGTTTTACAGTGGAGTACTCTTTCAAAAACAGGTCTGCTTTCCCCTTTAATGATGCTCATAGTACAACAGAAGACATTTCATCCCCAGCAACGTTAAAAAGAAATGTTGTCCAGCCCCAGCATCAGAAGGATGAATAATTGTTGCAGGTGCTTATAGACTCTTGGGGATGCAGTAAATAACTTTTATCTATGGCATTGTTAGATATAAAGGAAAGGTTGTCACAGACTGATGATCTCGCTCCCTCAGAAAGCAGTAAGACGTTTATGCTGTTAGACAGAGGAAGTGTCTTTGTTAGATATGCTGCACCTCTGTGGAAGCATGTGCTGCCTGTGGACCAGGTTAAACTGCATTTCTCTCAAGGTGCTGCTCACTGAACTCTTAAGGGGCAGTATTATAAT